GTCGTCCTCCGTCCGCGTCTTTTTTGATCTGGGCCTGTTTTGTTTAGAGACTGAAACCCAACAGTATGTGCTGTTGGGAATTAAGTCCTTCAGGAGCGGCTGGTCTTCCTGTCCAAGAAAATCGCTGTGGCGGCAGGGCAGCCGTTCTCTGCCGGGCGCCCAGGCAAAGAGTTGAATTCCTAACGGCAGCCACGTTTTGCATGGCGATATGGTCCGGATGGCTGGATCGTTGGAAGTGCGAAAAGCAGCTGATGACCCTGCTGCTGAACATAAATAAGAAGCAGCAGCACATACGAAGGGTGAGGAAGGAGGAGGAATTGAATAGCAGGATGCCGCCAAGAAACAATCCGCTCCCGGACAGGGTTCGAGACGAAGGACTTTGCCACCGGCCTTCACGCCTCCACCACCAGAGTGTTCACCGTGCAGGGCATGCCTCTAGCCGGTCGCACTGAAGGTTTAAGATGCAGTCGATAACTTGACATCGTTTTTCTCGTGTGCTCCTGCCCCCCATCAGTCATTATGCTGGTTCAGCCAGCTCGACACTTCTTTTACCTTCCGTTGGCCTGCATTGCCTGAGGCTGTGCGAAAGGCTTCGCTAGAAGGCAGGCTGCTCATCTGTCAGTGGCTGGCGATTGAACTGAAACATCATGCTGCGCAAGATTTCGTCACACTGTTTCACGATGTTTCACCAAGGCTCCAGAAATATGCTTAGCACATATATTATAGCCCGAGTTTAAGTAAATTAAATGCCGCCGTGAGACGATGAGCACGAATTGATACGGAATTTGTTGTTCGACTTGCTCGCCGTGGCCTTGAGACAGGCTTTCGAGCTCGGACGCACCGACCGTGCTCCTGGCAAGTCAGTTGGAAGGGATTTTCGGGCCGATTTCTGCCTGCGAGGTTGCCAGCTTGCCTATACAGAGTGATGCATGCTCGATGTTTAGGACGGGGCGCTAGCTTCCATGTAAGCGCAGCGCCAGGCAGCAACGCTTTGCCCAGGATGCCGCCGCCTAAGCACAGGTTCGGAATGTGGAATACTCCTTCCGAAAATAGGAGACCCCAATACAATGCCCTAAATAGTAGGATCCTTATTATAAGGACCCCAAAATAAGGTACCCCTAAGTTTCGGAAAGTCCCATCCGTTGAGATGTCTTTGCACGAAGGACAGGCCTCCAGCTCGGGGCCAGCTTCCACCTACTTCGAGACGTTGACTTGTCGACGCAGGGTGTGCTCGCAAAAGCGATATTAGTCTAGCCGGCAAAGCAGTGTGCCATGCATTGCAGCAGGGCTTGTGTGTTTGTGATTGCCTCTCCCAACGCAGGAGAATAATAACAAAGCACGGATTTTCATCATGGCCTGGAGCCTGGCATGTTGCTCCGTAGCTAGGCTTCGGCAAAGTTTGCGCATGAGCCGTTGAGGCCAAAGGTGCCGTGGTGGACGGCGAGGCGCCAGCTGGCATTCTGCGGAGCCTTCCTTGCTTGGCCCTGTGCCTGCAGGATCCAGACCTTGACCAAGTTAAGGAGGGATCGCTCGCCGCCGCCCTGGATCCTGCTTCGTAAAAACTGGGTGTTGGCATGTGCCCAGAGGTGCGAGTGGAGAAAGTGCTGGAGGTGGCGCCAAACCAGATCAATGCCCTGCTTGGTAACCAACAGGCAGACGCTCCGGCCGGGCTTTGGGTGAAGGCCGCCTTGTAGAATGCAGAGCAGGTGTCGCTCTTCCTGGCGTCGCCTTCAGCCTCTCGCTTCGAGGAAGGGGATGAGGCCGGGACTTCCTCGACTCTGCGGGTCCCTGTGACATTTTCTAGCAGAGTTGGGACACGGCTGGTATGGCATCCAGCGAGCCAGCAGGGATCCTGCCCTTCGTCGCTGTGCTAGGAGGAAGATGATGCGCTTTCACCCAGAGCACCTCCTTTGTCGGAGGATTTGGAGCCTGGTTCGGAGGCAAGGCCAGCCTGAAGCGTGAAATCAGAGACCCAGGCCCTAGACCCAATAAGCCCCAAACCCTAAACCCTAAACCCTATAACCCTAAACCCGATAAGCCCTATAAGCCCTAAGCCCTAAACCCTAAAAGAAGCCCCAAAACAGCCTCAACTCTGACGGCGGCGCGTTCATGTGCCGAGGCGGTTCCCGAGCCGGGGGAGAATGGCTCGCCAGAGCTGCCAGAGGCCAGGCCTTCCCTAAAAGTTGGGTTCAGAGTTTAGGGTTGTAGGGTTTAGGAGTTTAGGGGTTTAGGGTTGTAGGGTTTAGGAGATTAGGGTTCAGGGTTTAGGGTTCAGGGTTTAGGGGTTTAGGGTTTAGGGGTTCCGGGATTAGGGGTTTAGGGTTTAGGGGTTTGGGTTCAGGGTTTAGGGGTTAGGGGTTAGGGTCCAGGGTTTAGGGGTTAGGGTTCAGGGTTCAGGGTTTAGGGTTGGCCTTTGAATTGAAGTAATGCAAGAGTGTCGTCGTACAGACTTGTTAGGTTTCCTGGTGGGCTTATAGGCAATTAAGAGGATTTTGCAGGGTTGCCGATTGTATTGTGGCTTTTACATATGGGTTTTACAGGCAGAGACCTTTTCGTACTCTGCTCCATTGACAGGTCCTGGCTGCTGAAGAGAAAGAGGAGACGCAACCTTTGAAGGACGTCTCAGACTTCTGTCTTGGCTGGGCCATCTTCTCCCCAGCCCTAGACCCGAAACCACGCTCGTGGAATTTCGGGATAGGGTTCGGTTGACTAGGTTTTGGTTTAAGTTTTAATGTTTAGCTTCCTGGGGTTGAGATTTAGGGAGGGTTGTCGGGATGTCGATCGATCGCTTGCAGGAGGCTGTCGTGTTGCCGCTGCCCACGATTGAAATCCAGCCTGAGCCCGTCTCCCCGACGAGCGAAGTGCCCGCACCTAGCGAAGCTGCGACATCAGAGGCCAGGAAACACTAGAATCTAGAGTAACCTGCTCGAATATACTGCAGAGGCCAGGAAATCGTAGAATCTAGCATAATCTGCTAGAATGTACTGCAGTATACTCTAACAGACTCTAACATATAGAAATATACTACAGTACACTATACTATACTTCAGTCTACTGTACTATATTGTGCCGAAGTTCATGTTTGGCATTCTCTCTCCTGGACGGTGGTCACTTCCAGTTTCTTTGCTTGGATCATGAATGTCTTGGCACTTGGAAGTCGCAGGTGCTAGACTGAATCGCCAAATGCTCGACACGACCCGAAGACCCAAACGGCCAGAATCACACAAGCAACGGCAGTGTGCAGTCAAGCCAAGCCACCAAATAGACGATGGAGTCTCTCACTGTGTCCTACGTCATGCACTGCACCGAGTACACATTGAACGCATGGGTGCATCACCATGTGACAGAATACGAGGCGTCGTGCGTAATAACACACTCAGCGCCAAAACACGGCAAACAAGCTACTTGTAGCAGCTTTGTCTTCGGAATTCCAAGCCGCATGAACCGATTCTAAGATGCTATGTACGCAAGAAGGGTATGGATTCTGTTTTGGCTGCTCTCGACGCAGACTTCGTCACCCACGACATGTGTTCACAAGCCATCTGCTAGGTTGACCTTGATGTTTTCGCGCCTCATCTAGATATGTGTCACTTTGAAGACCTGTTTCAACATGCTGTCCTGGAGGCAAAACCGCACACGGAGAAGCCCTCTGTATACTATGCCGGCATCGTAACGCCCAGCAGCCGCAGCCGCTCTGAGGCCAGGTTCGATCTTCTCGCTTGCATAGACGAAGGTTTCGAGCGCATAGGCTAAAAAAGGCCCAACACTTACAAGATCAAGTCTTGTGCAAGCGGGATCTTTCTTGTTGGCTGCCAGGGTGAAATGACGCCTATAAAGAGAATGAAGCCCAAATCTCAGGCGGGGCAGGAGATTTCTGCATGAAGAGCTTTATCCATTTGTGAAAGCTATCGACTTCATCGTGCTCTGCTCTGGGTCGCTTTTGTCTTCTAAGGTTTAGCACTTAGGGCTTAAGCGGTGTAGGGTCTGGCATCCTTCCTTGACAGTCGATTTTTGCCTGCACCTATTGACACGCAACGGGCCCTTGGACTGGCGACCCGTACAAACCACACGATTGCGACATGCTTGTCATGCAGGTGCAGTACCATCCGCTTCGACATGATGGAACAGATGGACCACGTGAAGAGTTCCAACCCCTCGTTCAGACCGTGCAGGAGAGGTACATTCCATTGCATCCTTACGTGCCTATACATGGGGCACTGGTTGTGCATGGGGCCACGCCGCTTTCACCATCCTGCCACGGGACAGGCTAGTTAAACATCGGATACAGTGTGCGTGTAGTCGAACATCTCATCGGAGGATGTGGCCGGTCTCTTGTCTGCAGCCCGTGAGTTCGTCGCAGAGCAGAGCAGATGACTGCCACAGCAACTGCTACCCTGGGTCAGTTTGTGCCTATTTATACTCGTGTTTGTGATTATCCTCAGCCAGAAGCTGAGATCCACATCATGACCGGACAGATTCGACCTGTTTCGATGCCAAGATGTGCACAGATGAATTTGTATTAAGTTCCTGTCGGTTCCATTCAATCAGTTGGAGAGATTTTCGATTTGCACGGAAGATGGCTTTGCAGTGGTGTCCTTCACCGCTTGTCGCTCGCGAAATTCACGTGCGTGGGCTGGGTATGTCATATTGGCAGAGAGTGGCCCCCACTGTTTTCCTGCACGGGTGTCGCTATCGGAATGTACACACAACTTGACACAGCGGAGTAAAGAGATATAAAAGAACAGGGCCTCGAGCCAGGAATCAAGCGTACTGGGCATCTCCGCACGTCGTACCATGACTTTCTCTGTTTGCCTCTGCTGTCTCAGCGCGCCACGTCGGTGTAGACACTTTTCAGATCTAATTGTGAACTGCACTTGTCAAGATCTTTAAAAAAGCACCCGTCAATTTCACTGTTTTTCGTCATGCTTGAGAAGTGTTGGACAAGGTGACGAAGATCGGCGCGACACGGGTGACCAGCCCGAGCAGCTCGGATCATCTTAAGAACTGGAGGGGTCACTGCCCCGTTCCTGTCGAGCCACATTGAACCGTTTCAGGCCCGGCATGCCTTCGGAGGCCTCGGAAGCTCTTGCAGAAGGGCGCCGGGGAGGCTGTTCCCCTCAGAGTCGATGCGACAGGCAGAGGCCCCAATGGAGGATGCGGCGCCTGCAGCGCTCCCGCTCCAGCCTCGGAGCGCTTTCGGTGCCATTAAATCAGGCGGGGACGCCTGATTTGCTCTGCCGATCGAGGCCAGAAGTGGCGGAGGGTGAGCCCGAAGCGGACCGAGGCAAAACGCAATTACGCTGTTACACATGATAGCCTTGCCAGAAACTTAAGACATTGCGGACTATGTGTCCCTCCCTCTGGCTTTGCTAGTTCTCTCTCTCTCTCTCTCTCTCCCTCCCTCTCTCTCTTTCAATGTTTTCTGTGATCAAGTGTGGACTGCATGCATGAGAAAGACCGGCAGCACTCAGAGAACCGCCGTCCGGTCTGCGCCTTTAAAACAGGCGAAGAAGATGCCGATGCCAAGCCGCAGTCTTGGGGAGAGATGTCGTCGGAGAGGGTGATCACTCTGTCGGATTAATTGTATTGGTTCGGGCATAGTTGATAAATCATAAAAAACAAATAAATGAATAAATAAACAAATAAGTAAATAAATAAATAAATATATATATAATTATATATAAGTATAAGTATAAGTATAAGTATAAGTATAAGTATAAGTATAAGTATAAGTATAAGTATAGGTATAAGTATAAGTATAAGTATAAGTATAAGTATAAGTACAAATAAATAAATAAATAGATAAATATACCTACATACATATATATATATTATATTATTATTATTATTGTTATTATTATTATTCACATACACATACACATATGTACATATATGCTTAAGCTGAGCTCTGCTCGTATATGGTATATCTGGCTGATGTTTGTCGCTCAAGCCAAGGTCCATCACGAGTGCTTCTTTCGAGCTTGGCATCGTCTACGTTCTTCGCCATCCTGCCTTCGTGTCACCCAGGGCTGACGTCTTCGAGCCTGACGATGATGAGCTGATTGCAGAGCTCGAGGAGGGCGAGGTGCCCTTACCAGATCAGTCAGTTGATGCTAGCATCGATTTTCAATCAGTGATAGAGCACCACGACGACCAAAGACCATCGACCAAGACGACCACTTGGTCCGGAGGACCAAGACGACCAGGACGGCCACGACCGCGAGGCGGCCAGGAGACCGACACGAAGTCACCAAGAGACCACCAGAGCAGGAGACCTCCCGAGACAGGACACCACCAGGAGACCAGGGGACCGCTAGGAGACCACAAGCACGTGATGGCTTGACAAGAAGGTTTCTCGCGAGAGACCGGCAAATCAGGAGCAGGACCAACCTACTTCCCAACAACTACTATCGCATTCAGAAATGCCCACCATGCTTGGCCTTCTGCGCGGATGCTTACCCCCCATTTCCTGACCGGGATTCAAGAGGACGGCCAGACAAGGATGGCCAATGTATGGGAATTTACAGTGGATCTAGCTTTCCGGAAGACCCATCGCACGGATACGGTCTAAATATTAGAACATCGGTGCAAGCGATGCGCGGCGCCAGAGCGGCAGCCCCGTCTCGGGTGCGCCTACAGTTAATCTACCGGGCTTCTTTATCCTTCACTTTGGAACTGCGTAGTGTGTACCACACTGTTTGGGGACTGATGCGTGATCAGAGGGGCAAGCTGGCAAGCATGCTGTCGCAATCTGCGGCATGCACATCGGAGGAGATCGAGCTGGTGGAGATCGTTGGCTTTTCCGAAGAGGGACGGGTGTGGCTTGCTCAGCCGTGGGATGTTGTCCACCTGAGTGTTCGATCTTGGCTTCATGGGCCAGCATGCGAGGCGTGGGAAGCTGAAGTCTCCGGAAGGTTGGATCACCTTGAGGATGCCTGGCATTCTTGGCCTCTACCTTCCAGCTGTAACATCGCGATTTTTTGGCTTGCCCTACATGGTATTGATCTGAGGAACTCGGCCACGGGCACAAACTGGGTCGCCGGCTATTCGGAAGCCCGGATCAGAAGTGTTGTGTTCCCTCAGCTTGTCTAGAGTCAATGCTGCAAGACCCATCGTTGAGTTAGTCTCGGCGTATGCAAAGCTCACGATGCTACAACCTGCATTTTTTCAGGACAGGGGCGCAAGCTTCTCGGCTGAACTTAGATTGATATCTTGCTTGATGATGCTCGTGGCCTACCGTCTGCCAGAGAAGCATTGACACAGCCCTCCTGCCAAGGTGACCAGGCGTCCCAGGAGAGCGGCCAGGTGTCACAGGAGGGCAAGTCGGACGCATCAGTCTCAGAGGAGCCGCGAGACAAGCCTAAAGATGAGAAACTGGCAGGATCCGACAGCGCCGTACAAGAAGGGAGTCTACATTCTTGTGCGTGCCGCGTATGTCGCGCACGATGCCGATAACTTCGCACCCGATGACGACGAGCTGGTTGCAAGGGTGGAGGAGGGTGAAGACTCTTTGCGCATTGATTAACAAGTTGATGGACCAACAAGGCTCAAAAATGCCTCCCAGGGGTGAGTGATAGATATATCTTCTACAGCAAGAGCCAAGGAAGTAGAAGTCGTAGAGGTGGTCGACTTTGTGGAGGAGGACAGAGTGCATTGAGCTCAGACATGCAAGCCCGGAGGAGGGGTATCCTATTACGAGTCGCCGCTCCGATGCTTCATCGGATGCTGTCAAGTGCCCCGAGCACGAAGCACCATCATCCGCAAAACTCGATACATACCTTCTGCCATCAGAGTATCCCCTACAGCAACACTGCAAACTCCCGTGTCGGTGAGTCTCCAGCCACCACTCTCCCCAGATCCGAAATCCGGTTCTCCGGATTTCATTGTTTTGTCTTCTCCCAAGCGCTGCCATCCGAAATTCACGAAATTTGAAGCTTACAAGAAGAAGGGCCATTTCTCGACCCAGGCGTGGCAGGATCCTCGAGCCAGGTGGTTGGATTACCCTCCTGAGACTTGGACAGGGTTTGGCAGACTTCGTCGTGCGACGAAAAGCAAGCTCAGTGACTTAACGTCCCTTGCCCAACCGAGGAACAGGATCACAGGCACGGAGTGGATTACGCCGAAGGCGGGTGGGCACTGGGAAACAGATTCGCACCCTCTGCTGCAGCGGCATGGCAAATCTCTCGAGCGAGTTAGCACTGAAACGATGGCTGTGCGGGACACATTTCATACTTTTTCAGTGATTGCCCGGAAGTAGTTTCGCTCTTGGCAGGATCCTGGGGACCATGGCATCCCAGGTGCTGCGACAGTTTCTCTGCAGCCTGGAAAACCGCTGGTTGCTGTGACTGACGTGAAGTCTCTTTTTTCCCTCAGGTCCTGATTCCCTGCATCGTTTGCTCCTTGCCATTCCCTTTGTTGCCCTCCCTGCCCTGCTCTTCCCCCTCCTTCCAAGCTCCACCGCAGCTTTTGCTTCTAATTAGGCTAGTACATGTTTTCGACGACACAACACGACCAAGATTTGTCAGACGCCAATGTGGCAGGCATTCCAGTGTTCCTGACCACCCTAAACCCTAAGGCCCTAAAGGGCGCCCAAGCCAGGCGACAGAGACGAATCTTCCGAAGGCGAGGAAGGCGATGGGCCGTCGAGGCCACTACAAATCAGCTGCTGATGAAGCATCCAATATACCATAGTCTACAAAAACGTGCGATAATACATGGTATAATATGCTATAGTGGACCATAATCTACCGTATAATGTACTAATATGTACTATACCTCCATCAGATACGAGGGCGTGGGCTCTTGCAGCATTGCAGTCAGGGTGCAATCAGGTCACTCTGTTTAGCAGCACGTGGCAATCAAGTTCTGCAGGCACGAAGGGAAGGAAGAAGCGGACACGCCTCTTGACAAGAATGTGTTGACTCTAGCTGTTCTTTTGATGTGTGTACTTGGGGGGAATGCCGGGTGCTTGTGCCCACAATCTCTGTGCCCGAGCATGTGACCATGTGCCGGCCTGCCGCATCACACAAGCCTGAGCCGCTTTTGCTGCTTGCAACTTTCATTTGAGGAACCCTGTTGACAGGATGAACTTGGAGGACAGCTGTCTTCAATTCGAAAAGTTTCCCCCACGCGTCTACTGCTGCAATCTGCCAGGAGGAGGATGCGAGCCACCTGGCCGAAGTGAGTCCATTTTGTGGCATTCATAGGTCAGCTCTGGTCTCTCGGTCAAGGTCGGCGGAAGGCATCCGAATTGGAACAGGAGCTGGGCATGCTGGAGTCCCCACGGGCCCTAATCGTCCCTAGAGCATTTCCGAAGGACTCATTTCGCGTTTACCGGCTGTTTGAGACAACTGCCGGACCAGATTGGATAAGTTGTCCGTCTAGCCTTGGCTGACAGGAGGAGCCCTACGAATCGGGCATTTACCTCCTTGTGCGGTCCGCATTTGTGGCATACGACGCCGACAACTTTACCCCAGACGACGACGAGCTCGTTGCAGAGCTCGAGGAGGGTGAAGACGCTTCGTGCGGTGTTTAGAAGGTGTGGAACAGTCTATCACAAGCACTTTGATCTGAATTTGGAATGCTATTGACGCGAGATATCATGCCTCCAAGGAAGTCGAGGTTGTAGAGGTGATCGATTTTGTCGAGGACGACCGAGTGTTCCCAGCTTAGGATCCACATCATTCCTGCTGTCATGAACAGTGTCCCTGCCATCTGGCCAAGCACTGTACGTACATACATACATACATACATACATACATACACACACACACACGCACACTGAGGCGAGGCAGGCTCCGTGATCCAGATGGGTGGATCACGCTCGTGAGACTGAGCCAAACGAGCTTGACTGGTGTGCGGTGTTGACATGAGAACTTGTAACTAGACAACACCCCCATGCCAAGGAACAGAGCGACCGGTGCCAAATGGGTCACCCCAAAGGCTGGTGTGCCATGACCCGAAATTTCCAGATTCTAGCCCGGTATGCCGGCCCAATGAGCGACTGATAGCACCTTCATCCGCTTCACCGGGGGCTCCGAAACATCGGATGGGATGCGTGGACAGCTGTGATCCGGCATGCCGACATTGTGTGAGAAGGTTGATTCGTCCACGGCCGACAAATCCGGTTGCCAACACTCATGTTCATACCATCTTGGATACCGCGCTTCGCGACTGGCAGGAGTCCGGCAACGACTTTCGAGGTGGGGATTTGTTTGCAGCAATGGCTATGGATATAGCACATCCAGCTATTTCAAGACACCCTTCAGTGATACTAGCATGCTTCCTTTTCTATCCGGATGCCACCAACCAAAGAGAGTCAGAGAGTCGGACAGATACTCTTTGTTTGGACTGCCTTCTCTGAGGTGCCTCAAAGACCGCCGCCTCAGAGCCAGGTGAGCAAGAAGAAGGTTCCCACTCCGAAGACGAGGATGGCAACGAGCCTTCCAGGCATGACGAGACCTCGATTACGGGAGTCGGTCAGAAGGGACGACTTTAGGAAAAGCTGTTAGCTTCCCGTTCTGGATCGGGAGTAGAGGGCACAGCAACTTTCAGCAGGCACCGAAGAGTGGCCGACGAGGAAGATGAGCGTCTTGACGGAAACTGGCAGTTGCTTCATCTCGTGGCTCAACGTTTCTGGACACACTTGCTGGCTCGCATGCTTCTTGGCAACGGCTAGAATGCCGCCAGATTGATAAGTTAAAAGCCATCCAAGGCTTGGAATCCAAGCGCTCCGTGCATGTATAGAGATTAGGCATGCTTGTACCAAGTTTGAAGGCCGAAATCACTAAACCCTAGCTTGACTCGGGATCCCCAAGACACAGGTCGACTTGTTACGGTGCCGTCCTAACCGCGACTCCTAATGAGGTTTCTAAGTCTGACCTTCGCGTCACAGCTCACCGCCAACTTCCTCGTGGTGGCAGTCTGTCAAACAGCGTGACATTCTTCGTGTCGTCGTTCGCATTCTGAATCTCTGTTGCTGTTTGTCTCTGTCAGGCAGAGCTCATGTCCGGGTCAATCCTTCACCTCGCCTTTCAGGGCCAAGAAAGAGAGGGGAGCTGACCAAGACAAGATGACATCCTCCAGGTTGGACGTAGCCTTGCGTGCCGGTCGTTCAGCCGAGGAGCCCTGCAATGAAGTGGACTTCTCCAGAGGACGGGGTTCAAGAGCAATTTGCTTCTTTTTCTTCGTGGGAGGCCTGGAAGCCATAGTCCTGTTGCGTCTTTTTCTCGTGCTTTCAGGACGCCGCGAGCATCGATGCAGAGGCAGAAGGCAGCGAAAAGAAATGTAGTCCCAAGTCTTGTGCTTGCAACTGCTGTAAGCCTGTAAGCACGATCATGCAGACCGCCTCGTGCCTCATCTCCCATCTCTGGTTAAACCCTCCAGCGGCATGTCATGCTGTTCGAGTGTATCTGCATGCATCTGCCACAGGCGGGCGGAAGGCATCAGGCTCACAGGGGGAGGACGAGGAGCTGCTGGCACATCGATAGATCCGTTGGATCTCATCGTGAGAAGCACTTCTCTATCTTCGTTTTGGAACACTTGGCACGACTGGATTTCTGGCAGGATCCAGTGCCCTTCGAAACTGGATCCTACATTCTTCTGCGAACTGCATTCGTGGCATTGGATGCCGACAACTTCTCGCCCGACGACGAGGAGCTTGTTGCAGAGCTTGAGGAAGGCGAAGACTCCCGGAGGAATCGTATGTGGAAGACTTTCATATGCTAACACCACGCAATCTCACAAACCGCGCCTTGCAGCTTAAGTCTCACTGGCAAGAGCTAAGGAAGTAGAAATTGTGGAAGTGGTGGACTTTGTCAAGGAGGAGAGAGTGTTCCCGGCTTGGACATGGGAACTAGACCACTGATGGTGCATCTTCTCTGTTATTTCGCAGTACTTGCCCGCGTCCTGAACCGAGGCGGGGCAGGATCCGCGACCTCCACGGATGGATTACCCTCCTGAGACTTGGACAGGGTTTGGCGAGGTCTCAGCCCTGCACTAAAGCCCACCGTGGATGAACTTCTCTCCATAAACCGAGGAACAGAGCCACGGGCACCGAATGGGTCGCCCCGACAACCCAGGTGCCTTCCAGCAAGGACGGACAGATGTGACTTGCCATGGGTAGTTCGCTGCGTTCTACATGTACTTATTGCCGTTGCAGGACACGGTGGGCAACGATGCCCGAGGCGCATGGCCTGGGTTTCTTGCGACAGCTGCCGGGAATGTTTGCGCGAATGTGTGCCCATTTTCTGCTCCGTTGAAATCTGACTGTTCGGTGAGCCCTTCCAGCTACAGCAGCTACGGTTTTGCCAGAGCAGAGAACCGGTACATCCGTGTTCTCAGTCAGCAAAAAGCAGCTGGTGTCGATGGCACGGTATTCCAAGACCAGTACGCAAGTAGCATCACTACCCCACCGATGCCACACAAACCATCTCAAACACATCAGACGCTGGCACAGGCGAAGAGGAGGCATCGCACGCGCAGAAGGAGGAGCTGTTGGGCTTTCTTAAGCCTTAAGTGCGCAACGCTTCGCACGGGGCAGTTCTGCGGAAGCTTGCAGGATCCGCCAGTGCGCTTCAAACCGGGATTCTACACTCTTCTGCGACCCACATTCGTGGCACTTGATGCCGACGACTTCTCGCCGGACGACGCGGATCTTGTTGCGAAGCTGCCGGAGGGTATGGCGCTTTGGCAGCGTAAGTCATCTGCAATGTTGGCTTCAACGGCAAAAACGGAGAGCCAAGGAAGTAGAAATTGTGGAAGTGGTGGACTTTGTCAAGGAGGAGAGAGTGTTCCCGGCTTGGACATGGGAACTAGACCACTGATGGAGCATCTTCTCTGTTATTTCGCAGTACTTGCCCGCGTCCTGAACCGAGGCGGGGCAGGATCCGCGACCTCCACGGATGGATTACCCTCCTGAGACTTGGACAGGGTTTGGCGAGGTCTCAGCCCTGCACTAAAGCCCACCGTGGATGAACTTCTCTCCATAAACCGAGGAACAGAGCCACGGGCACCGAATGGGTCGCCCCGACAAGCCCGGCTCAGGTGCCTCGGAGCCAGCACGCATAGTCTGTTAGGCTACAGTGCTTGATGATTGTGGTCGCGTGCAGTGTCACCGTGCCTAGGGTTGAAAAGCATACCAGTTGAACACATTCTTGATTGCAGGAATCGGTGGATGACAATTCCCAAGGCGCATGCTTTGAACCGTGGACCATGGCCACTGCATTCTAAGGGCATCTTTTCCAGTCAGGTCTTGCGATTTACTAACACGTTCCAGCAGTCGCCATGTCGGCTACAAGCCATCAGTTCAGCTTCAGCTAAAGCTGCTGAAGCATTTCGCAGCTGCAATCCGGGTGCATGTCCTCACACTCGTTCAGGTGATTCCCAGAGAAATGCTTCCTCTGACGTTGAAGCTACCAGTGAACATTCCAGGCACGGTCAAGTTGCACTATGGCGTGGGACATGGGCTGTCGTGCATCGCCGGAGCAACGGGCGACGGGACACCCTGCTTGGCCATGCAGGCCACCCACAGTCGTCGACGACGGTGTGGATGCGTTGCCAGGCTGCATTTAGCCAGGACTTTGCCCGGGGTCAATCACACCACAGCCCCACGTCAACGGGTCGCACATGCACAGAAGGCTCTTGTTGAAGGGAGGGAGGGCGGGCGTCCTCACATGAATGCAAGAAAGCTTGAAGATTGCAATGCCCAGCCCCAGCAACCAGCACCACAAGCACAGCATGCCTTGAAGCTCCAGACTCGTCTAAAAAACTACGCAAGGGGATTTCCGCCTTTTTACGAGATGTCCACAGGGTCTCCTGTTTGGTGTCGCCTTATGCACCCTACACTACGGTGTCCAAACACGTGCTACTGGCCGAAGTAATTGCCAACAGCACCAGACCGCGAAGTTGCAACTGCAGAGCGAAGGTGCCGTTTGATTTGTTTTCAGTGGTGATGATGTTGTGGCATGCCATAAAATATTGGGTTGTATTATACTGCATTGTACTGTATTGTTTTGTTGTATTATGTATTATGTCGTGTTATATTGTATTGCATTGTTTTCTGTCATTTAATGTTCGATGAACTGTCTGAAAGCTTCGAGCTTAGGACCCCCGGCTCTGAAATGGAAGACTCCCTGCAGGACAGAGAACTTTCTGCTGCCGCTTCCTGATGCCCGCTGTGTTCCAAGTCACTGCAAGTTCCCCGTCTTGCTTTCAGGATGGCGCAAGTGTCGGTGCAGAAGATGCAGGCAGCAGAGAGAAGCTCAGCCCACGTAAGCGCCATAAACACGAGCGTCAAGACTTCCTCGTCTTTCCTGCAGCCCGTCCAGCGTCCGGTCATGCTACAAAACTATCTCAAACGCATCAGACACAGACACAGGCGACCGGGAGGCGTCACACTCCGAGGAAGAGGAGCCTTCAGCTTTGAAATGTTTTGAACACTTGGTTTGGGACAGCCCGTTGGAAGCTGGCAGGATTCGTCAGTGCAGTTCAAAAAGGGGTCCTATGTTCTTCTGCGACCCGCGTTTGTGGCACTTCATGCCGACGACTTCTCTCCGGACGATGACGACCTTGTTGCAGAGCTGGAGGAGGGTATGGCGCCTTGGCAGCGTAAGTCATCTGCAATGTTGGCTTCAACGGCACAAGAGCCAAGGAAGTAGAAATTGTGGAAGTGGTGGACTTTGTCAAGGAGGAGAGAGTGTTCCCGGCTTGGACATGGGAACTAGACCACTGATGGTGCATCTTCTCTGTTATTTCGCAGTACTTGCCCGCGTCCTGAACCGAGGCGGGGCAGGATCCGCGACCTCCACGGATGGATTACCCTCCTGAGACTTGGACAGGGTTTGGCGAGGTCTCAGCCCACCGTGGATGAACTTCTCTCCATAAACCGAGGAATAGAGCCACGGGCACCGAATGGGTCGCCCCGACAACCCAGGTGCCTCTGCGCAAGGACGGACAGATGTGGCTTGCCATTGGTAGTTGGCTGAGTGCTACTTAGTTGCATGTTTGCCTTGACAGGATTCCGTGGACAACGATGCCGGAGGTGCATGGCCTTTGTTTCATGCAACAATTGCCGGCCATTTAATTGCCTATTTTTTGCTCCTGGAATCTGAGCGTTCGGCGAAGCCTTCTAGCTGCGATGCTTTGTCGTCTTGCTCCGCATTGCGTCATGTAATGTTGCCAGTGGGAAATTGGCCATGCGGCAACACTACCCAATTGCAGGAAGGAAGTATATCGGGTGCACCATGCAAAATCGTTGACGACACAATCGCTAGGAGGAGTGTATCCGCTGAACCAAGATCATATTGCTGGACGTTCATGGCACCTAATATGCTGCGCACCTGCATATCACATCTGGTTGCCTGTACTTTGAGGGCTGCAAGTGGCTCCCCCGTATGGTGCAGTCCTGATCAGATGCTTAATTGATCCGTACATCTAGAAACATGAACCCTCATCCCTACGAGCCGAACCTCAGCCCTAATCCCTAAACCCCTAAACCCTAAAAGTCCTAAACCCCTGTATAAACCTTAAACCCTAAAAATCCTAAAAACCCTAAACCCTATATAAACCCTATTCCCTAAACCCTGAATGTTGCAGGCCAGGAGTTGGGCCCGGAGCTGTCAGAAGCAGAGATCGCCAGGGAGTCCTCCGTGGAGCCCGAGGAGCCTTCTGAGCCGTTGCCCGGACGAGTTTTTTTTTTGGGGGGGGTTTAGGGAAATTTTAGGGTTTCGGAAGTTTTGGGGTTCAGGGAAGTTAGGGCTTCGGAAGTTTGGGGCGCAATTGAGGGTTTCGGAAGTTCAGGGTTCAGGGCTGTCATGGTTCAACTGACATATTTGAGGGGTCTTGTTCGGCGCTCAGCATCTTAGGCCTGCGCAGGGCTCGCCAACGATGCTGCCCGGTCTCTACATCCTCCTGCGGCCTGCCTTCGTGTGCCTCGGCGGAAGGGCCCTCGGCCTTTGACAGATCCCTACAATGTACAAGACTGTGAGAAAACATTCTGTACTATTAATAATCTACTGTAACTATATAACATATTGCGAAGCACTATCCTATCCTTACGCCGCTTTTCGGCTCCTTTGCCAGGTCACCAGAGGCCAAGATCTTCGCACCCGAGGATGACGAGCTCGTTGCGGAGCTCGAGGAGGGCCAGGCGGCGATGGGCACACTTGGAGCTCACGTTCGTGCGAGTGAGCACGCAGTTCTGAACAGCCGAAATCTAGCTTTTTTTAGCAATTGCTTACACTAGTGCTTTTTCTAAAAATTTGTATCATTGGCTATCACTGTCTAGCCTTTTCGTGTTTGGCCTAGGGGTTGCTTGTAGCTCTGAGCCATGTATCGAAAAAACATCCGTCGGGGCCCTGCCGAGTTTAGTGGCCACCAGTGTTTCTTATGATTTCCTCTGAGTTCAAGCTTTCGAACATGGGGGCATGGATGCACGGATCTTCTTGCAGGTGCAGCGCAGTCAAACAATGGTGGGGCATGGGTTATCGGTGCCTTGTGGGTTTGCAGCGCGCCAAAGTCAAGAAATGGCCATCCATCCAGAACAAGAGCATGTACAGACATGCACATGTGACATGCGATTTTTGTGGTTTTGCTTGGCTTCACATCCTGGCGGATGTAGTCCCTCCCGCACCGGACAAATCTTGATGTTGCAAGCCACATGGAGGAGATCGAAGTGACAGAGATCATCGACTTTGAGTCGGAGAAGCGTCTGTGGATAGCTGAGAGCTGAAAGGCACTTCCGGGTAGACTTGGCCCCTGACCACCTCGAGGAGTTGTAATTTTTGTTGGCCTGCACACATACTATTCTATAGTACAGTACAGTACAGTGCATTACAGTGTAATGTAGTATAGTATAGTATGGTGTCGAAAGAAAAGTATTGTCTGGTATGGTATGGTATGGCATGGTACAGTTTCGTATAGGATGGGTCCTACATGGATGGCACCAGCTGTTTTGCCAGATAAGGCGTGGCAAGCTAAAGGATCCAGATGGCTGGATTACGTTGATGAGACTTGACTGCAAGAAGCCGGTTTCAAACCTTCCAGACATTCATGCCATGCCCATGTCGGGTTGACTCTGCACATGCCAAGGAGCAAGGCGACTGGAGCAAAGTGGGTTTCTGCTAAGGCTCGCCGACATGCTCGAACAATTTCGTCAAGTTGAAGTCATGTCTCAACGAGCAGTAGTGCCACCACGGCATTCAAACCACCGCGTTTTGCAGGTTCTTCCGGAGGATGCTGAACACACAGGCACATCGGCACAGTAAGGGTCTGTCGAAAGATGCCTGAGCGAGACTTCACAACTTCACATGGAGAAGAATCGAAAGTTCTGAAAAGATAAAGATCGAAAGGTGATGGCGAAGCTTCGGAGGCTGGGGAAGATCGAACGCCGCTCAGCAGACGGGTTTCCTTCCACGAAGCAGAGGAGCTCCGGCCTCGGCTCTAGCTCCTCCTGACGGCCCCAAGGGGCCCCAAGTCTAAGTTTTCATGATCCTTTTTCACCAGAACTCCGAGGGATTCCTCGCGCAGCATCGCGCAGCGCACAAGGTCCGAGCCGGCGGATGGAGACTCCGACCCGGAGGACCAAGGCTGGGTGGTGCGCAACTCCAAGCTGCATCCATGCGGGTCCGCCCTGCCGAGAGGTGACATGGAGGCCGAGGAAGATGCCGGCGCCGAGCCTGCCGAGCCTGGGACGGGGCCTCTGCAAGAGCTCCTTATAAGGCCCCGAGAGAGGGAGAAAGCTGTGAGGGTTGGTGTGCTGTTGTGAGGCCGAAAGGGCGGCGCAAGCTCTTCGACGTCGGCCTCTACGTTCTCCGGCGCCCTGCCTTCGTGTCCCCCAGGGCCGAGCTCTTCGAGCCCGACGACGACGAGCTCGTCGCAGAGCTGGAGGAGGGCGAGGCCGGGAGCACGAGAAGGCACCCAAAGACGCTCGCGATCGCGCATGCAGAAGTGACCGAAGGAAATCGAGATAGTGGAGGTTGTTGACTTCCGAAATTTGGGGCGAGTGTGGCGGCCTGAGCCTTGCATTGACAGAGGTGGGAACAGCCTCTAACGTAGCTGTTGCACATAATGGAGTTGTCGGCTTGCGTTGGAATAGCACCACAGAGCCGAGCTGTCCAAGAGATCACCACGTCGTGGGTGCGACCGGTCTGCATGAGGCGTGGGAAGCTGAAGTCGCCGGAAGGTTGGATCACCTTGAGGACGCCTAGCATTATCAGAGTTGCCGCAGTCATGTAACTTTCCACACCGTCGGGACAGCGTTCGAGGAACTCCGCGACCGGGATCAAATGGGTCGCTCCGAAGGCCGGGTCTTCTGACGCCACTATGACATGTCACGTGCTACATATGGCTACATGCTGCATCTCTAGTCAAGAGTTTCCCCCGCCCCCCCTGCCCCATCCCCCCTGATTCTATGCCCTTTCAGCTGGCAGGACGAAGTCGCCGGCCTTTCGGCAGCAATGAGTTTCCTTTCTCTCTTCATATAACGGCCGACATGCTTGCCTCGTAGCAAGTCGAAGCTCTACGGTAGGCATAATCCTGTATCCCCTAAACTCTTACACCCAAGCGGGTCAGAGGTGACCAGCAAGCGCACGACTTGGAGCAGGAGCTTGTTCTGCTCTTCCTAAAGCTTCATGGCCAGAGACCATGCCCTCATAAGAGACGGGTGCTGAGTGCTGAATCTGTCTTACGACTTCTGGTCATTCGGTGTACGTAAAAGGAAGCCATTTGGGCCTGCTGCACTAGAATTGGCTGGCAGGGGGCTTGAAGCTGTCAGATTTTGTACGTGGCTGGCAGGATCCGCCGCCTTACCCGAAGGGATTCTACATTCTTTTGCGATCTGCATACGTTGCGTACGATGCCGACAACTTCGCGCCTGACGACGACGAGCTTGTTGCAGAGCTGGAAGAGGGTGACGAGACTTTGCGCAGCAACAGCCATGCACATCGCCTGCACGGCAGGAGTCATGTCTGAACAAAACGATCCAAGGAAGTCGAGATTGTGGAGGTAGTCGACTTCGTCGAAGAGGAGAGGGTGTTCCCAGCTTAGCACCATGTGCTGTTCAGATGTTCTGGCAGCTACTTGTAGCCTCCGGGAACAAATGCTTGGACCTAGGCGGGGCAGGCTCTATGATCCGGATGGGTGGATTACCTTGCTGAGACTTGTCGAATTCTGGAAGATTGCGGGTCAGAAGAACACTGCCTCTGAATGAGGAACAGAGCCACCGGAGCTGAGTGGGTGACCCCGAAGGCGAAGAGTTGTAGGGGTGACATGGGTACAGGGCACGGCTTCACATGGAACAGCTGCACGAGCCATCGCCAATGTGCGTGTTAGCCGCGCCGCCAGCAACAAAGCTGTTCCCGCGACCGTTTGCAACAGTAATACTGTGCATGTCAGGTAGAGGCGGATGCTGGCACCCGAGGCACGTGGAGTTACATTGCATGACTTTCCCGAATGAGCAGACACTTCCGGATTTCACAAGCACGTACCACGGCAAAGACGTGGTTTGTATGATGGATTGATGCATGCACGCATGCAGGCTCATGCCAAACGCATGTAGGCAACTTGTATGGGCAGCATCTGTATACTATATGAGACTATATGATGCATATGTGTCTGAGAGTAAAGGAAAAAGCTGTCTAGATATCATGCAGTACAGTTTAGTATAGTATAGATAGTATAGTATAGTGTTATCCAGTACAGTATTCCATACAGTACAGTACAACACTGTACGACACTACTGTATACTATGCTATAGTATACGCCCAGCGGTGTAATGGAATGCATTGCAGTAATATTTTCTACAGCATGATGAACTGTAACACTTAAATATCGCACCATATCAGATGATATCTTAGCGTAGTGTACAATGCAGTACAGTACAGTACAGTATAGTAAAGCATATAATTGGACAGTATGGTAGTGTTTATTATGGTATAGGCAAATATAGTATAGTATAGTATCGTATAGTATAGTACAGTATAGTACAGCATAGTACAATATAGTACAGTGTACGGCAACGTACAGTATAGTATAGTATTGTATTCCGTACCGTAGCGTACTGCGGTAGGACGAAAGTTCGTCGCACTCTGTATGTCGCTCTTGCACAGGGGCAATTAGGTCGACTGCCGGTCCCCAATTCACGCTGCGGTAGGACGAAAGTTCGTCGCACTCTGTATGTCGCTCTTGCGGTACAAACCCCTTTTCCCCGTAGACTCCTGCACCAAGTCCTCCGTCCGGAACATTATTATAGTAGTATAATTTTATTCCAGGGGATTAATTCCTCCGCTAGCCAGGCCACGTAAAAAGCACTTCTAAGTACTCCGCGTCCTCCGCAAGATACCATAGTACAGTATGATATTCTGTGGTATGTGATTGTTAGATTGTATCACGTGAGAGTGAAGCATAGTATGTTCTATATTTTCATAGGACATCATAGCAGCCTCTTAGTAGGTTAGAGTGTAACTATCATGGGTTTATCTTTTTCTTAGGGTCTCTAAGGGTTCTATCATGGGTTCGCAAGTTTAGGCATTCGGGGACAGTAAGGCTCAAGGGGTTGCAGCGAATTCAGTGGTACTTCTGTTGAAGCTAACGTTGCCATTGTCGCGATGGCAACAGCTGCTACAATTACTACTTAGGCAGTACCAGCATTGTAGCAGTAGTATAACGTCGTCGTCGTCGTCGTTGCGGTGCTGGTGCCGGCGCCGGTGCAGTGCTGCTGCCGGTGTTGGGTTGTTGGTGCCGGTCTTGGTGTGGGGGTTTGGGTGCTAGTGTTGGTGTTGGTCTTCTTGCTGCTGCTGCTGCTGTTGCGGCGGCGGCGATGAAAGTAGAACACGCAGAGATCAGTTGAGGAAGCAGAAGCACCAGCCGCCTTTTAACTAAGCATTTCGCCTAATATGCTAGGGCTGTTGGCATCATCCAGACATACATAGACCTAAGAGATAACAAGAACGATCGCGCATACCAAGGTTGGGGATTCAGTTGCGTGTGTTCGGTGCTTTGGGTTTTGGTTTTGTCTGTTCAGTGCTTCGGGTTCAGGTCGCGAAGTCTTGTGCCGGATCCGCTGCAAGATGTCGACGGAACACTTGGAAGGAGTCTACATTAAATCCTAAACCCCTAAACCTCTCAACCTCCTCTGAACCCTCTGAACCCTAAACCCCAAAGGCCCTAAATCCTAATCTCTTGCCAGGCGCAGTGCACATCATCAAAGTCCTCCTGAACCATCGCGCATCCATGGAGAAAGCAGACTTTGAGCAGAGGACTGTAGGGTTTGGAGTTTAGGCTTTACAGGGTTTAGGGTTTGGAGTCTTGAAGTTTAAGGTTTAGGGTCTGGAGTTTAGGAGCTTAGGGTTACTAGGAATTAGGAGTTCACGAGTTTCGGGAATAGGGCCAAGCGAAGGCGCGCTTTTGTGGGGAGCGTCGGCCTGCAGGCTTACCCACCCCAAGGCCACCCATTTAGAGCTTCGGCCTTGTTTTAGGGTCACTATCTATTAAATGACAGGGCTTGGACCAAGGCTGACTCGGCCCTTGTGTGTCCTGAGTGTGTTGGCGAGGCTTCCAACTTTACTCTTTGGAGTTTAGAAGTTAGGAGCCATCCGGATTTAGGATTTAGGAGCTATCAGGGTTAAGGGTTCAGGAGTTATCAGGGTTTAGGGTTATTCTAACAGGTTTTATGAGTTAGGCGGGTTTAAGATTTTGGAGTTTGGAGCATTGAGGGTTTAGGAGTTTGGGAGGGTTTAGGGCCTTTAGGGAGTTAGGAGCGGGTCCATGAAGGTGCTTATATCCGGGCTTCTAGCCCAAACCCTAAACCCTAAAGCCTAAGCCCTTATCCCTATAAACCCGAAGCCCCTAAACCATGTAAGCCCGTATAGCGCCACCCTTCGACCCTTGCAGTTCAGAGGACGCCCCTTCATGCAGCGGCAATGGCCGGGCAACTGAAAAGTCTGCAGTGTCTCCTGGAGGCCCGATTAAGGGCTTAGGGTGTGTGTGTGTGTATGTATGTATGTATATGTATATGTATATATATATATATATAGGGTTCAGGGTTTAGGGTTTAGGGTAATCATTGCAGTATGGTTTCTTTAGGCTCCATGGCTAGATGTACCCATCTAGCACATTTATGTGGGTTCCTATATTGGTACTTTACGGCAAGTGCTGAGTACATACCATATACATACATGGAGCCTTAGGGTTTATAAGGTCTACGACTACCAGTGGGTTGAGGGTTTAGGGCTTGGGGTCTGTCCGCTTGATGGAAGTGTGTAGGGTTCAGTTCAGAGGTTTGGTAAGGTTGGCTCAGAAGACTCATATGTGGTTTGTATACAGGGGCTTTATGTGGCGGTCTCATAGGCGTTCGACTCCCAGATATTGTTTATGTATTGATTGCGTCTTGTAAGGTTTTATGCACATGTTCGTGGTGGCCAAGGTCTCACAGGTGTTGCTACGTGGCTTCACAGGGTTTTAAGTTTGAAACGGCCGCTTTGTAGCTTTGCATTTTCAGTTTTAGGGATGTAGCGACGCATCCTACAAGGTGTCAAAAGGTGTGGTGTGGTTGAAGATTTGTTGAGGGTTCAGGGTGGGGATGGTTGAAAGGTTTGTAGAGTTACCGAAGCATGCACATTTTTGGAGGCCAGGCAATACGCCATGAACGATGCCAACACCCTATTATAAGTTAGGCCCGGGTACTAGTTTCAAGGCTCTTGCGTCAACTGTAGGAGTTTAACCCGAAACTCCCCTTTGCCAGGCCAAGGCAAGTGCTGCAGCTTGCGACAAGGCGGGGTGACCCGGTTGTTCATGGACTTGTCTGGGATTCCTCACATTGTTTTAGAGAGGGTCTGTATAAAGGGGTTCTGAATCACCCTGCTTCGTTTTGAAGCAGATGCCGTTTAGTCGCGCCCAACGCTTCACCGTGATTAAGGTCCCCTAATAGACGAGAAGTAGTAGAATCCTTTTCAGAGACCCCTCCAAGTATTCGGGTTAGCCTATGCTTCAACCCTGTTCAGCCCACACCCCTGAACTTTAGACCCAAAACCGCGCCCTGAACCTGAAGCCTCAACCCGCCGAGCCTTTCACGCCAACATACGAAACCCTGCGCCATACACAGGCCCTCAAGGCCTAAGCCTCAAAGCCCAGAGCCCTGCATACATCTTGAACCCGAAATCATTGATCGAAGCTTAGTCAGGAGCTTGACTTCGTGGACAGTCGCATTCGTGTGCAAGAGCGTTTGATGTCCATTGTCCTGTTGGAATCCAGTGCTGATTCGTAGCTTCAGCGAGCACCCTGGTTTTCTCTTACGCCTTTGGTGTCTTGCATGTCGTTCGTTTTTGTTTGGGATTCAGCCCTGCCACCTTGCAAAAGGCCGCCAAAACCCTGAATCCCTGATACAACCTTTATAGAACCCATAAAGAACGCTTAAACCCTAGGCCCTATAAACCTGGGCCCTATAAACCTTAAGTCCTTAAGCTCCAAGCCCTACACCCTACTCATAAAAGAAGCAACCCTAAACCCTAACCCTAAACCCCTAAACCCTAAACCCTAACCCTAAACCCTAAACCCTAAACCCTAAACCCTAAACCCGAACCCGTAAACCGTAAACCCTAAACCCGAACCCTAACCCCCTAAACCCTAAACCCAAACCTTAAGCCCAAAACCGCAGAGCTGTCAGAATCCGTGCCTGGGAGGCCGGAAGAAGGCCGCTCTACTTCGCTCGAGGCGTTTCCGGGTCTCCGTGCGAATCTCGATTTTATGGGTTAGGGTATACAGTGTTTAGGTTTAGGTTTAGGGTTTTTGGGGGTATCAGGGCTCATGGACAAGGTTGGTTATAGGGTATAGGCTTTGTTTAGGGTATGCGATGTAGCGTTGAAGGGTCAGTGAGTAGGAGAAAGGGTGCCCCTTTCATTAAAGGGATAGAGGGGAAGCGGGTAGACGCTGAAGCTTGGTTCTTGCTAAGGATATTGGTGAGTGCACGTAGTTGAGGTGATTGTGTATTTCGAGTGTTCTTATGGGGATACAAGCGCAGTTCAAAGGAGAGCGGTGCAAACTCACCGAAACCGCAATCCTGCAGCAAGTTTATTTCGTACAGTTTCATAAAGGTCCACCTGTCAGCATGAATACCATTCAAGGAACCTTTATAGGATCCACACGACCCTAAGACTGAACAGAAGCCTTCCTTCACAGCCTTGTCCATGTACTGCTTTTGGTTCAGGGCTTCGGCACCTCCCTAAAAATCTCGGGTCCCTAATTGTGCCGCGAAAGCCCATGATGCCTTGACTAGATCAGAGGTTTAGGGTTTAGGGGTTAGGGTTTAGGGTTTAGGGTTTAGGATCATGGCCCCTCTTTCGGAGTGCCTGGACCACTCGAGTAAGCATGTCCGCTTTCAGAAAGCAAGGGGCTCCAGTACGGACCCCCTCTAATGGAACAATAAAAAAGGGCCCTTGTAGTTTGGA